TAAACATTGTTTAACATCACAAAATAACTTGTAAAAAATTTGAAAAGGAAATGTGTCCCCTTTCATAAAAAGGATATTCCAACAATAGATGGCGCCTTTTGTGCGCAGGCACATTTACGCTCTAATTTTTAGTGCAGTCATGGTGTGTGTCTTGGCTAAGACGATGTACTGCGTCTTTTTGATTTTTATGATATTAATAATTAAATTAAATACTTAACTGATATTTAAGTATGAATGCTTTGATACACTTCATTACGGAGAGAAAAATATTTTTAACTTCACTCTGTGGAGCAGAATGTTACTTGTTCAATAAAAAAAGTGCTGTAAATTATTTTGTATGCTAAATAGATCTAATCGGTATGCGTAAGTGTGATTTATATTCGAAGTATATGTTTGTGTGGACTAGGAGAGTTGCTTAGATCGATGAATAGCACCCTTAATTTGATGGTCAAACTTTATTTATTTAATAGGATTCCTAGAATTGCATATAAGAAATGAATGTGGCTGCACATTGATTAGATGTATATTATTTTGGATTGTTTAACTGTGCATAGTAGTTCGATTTGTCAACTGTGGTAAATGTCGCGTAATATAATCACAGGTAACCACAGGTTAAACTATGCGCTTTTATGGACTACAAGTACAAGTACTTGTCATTAAATTCAACTGGAAGTCGGTTAAACTTGGCGGATGGCCTGAATATTAATTAAATTTTACAGGTTTTAGGTTTACTGATTTTAAACATCACAGTGTCCATTTTGCTGCCTTGACTTTCCTAATCAAACCATTTCTTTTCTAACTTTTTTTTCCCGATTTGGCCATTACTTTTAACAGCCAAAACCTTTCAAGCTAATAATATCGGCGAGGCTTAAAGCGGAATTGAATATCAAACGAAGGCACTTTCCTAGAATCAAAACTAAAGGCAATACCTGGTATTTCCCAGAATCGAAGCACGTTGCACATGACTTTTATTATGAAAATTATCCGTAAGCAAAGCGGAACTGGACTGGACTGGACAATGCAAATTGCCATAATTGGGCGTCAATATTTGAACAAGTTTATGACTTCCCCGTATTATGAAATCCTTGAAGGGGTGCCATACTCGTCGGCTGAACTGAAGAGATGGCCAATATGAATGAGATGGCAGAACACACAATTGTTTTAATAATTAAAGCAAATTGAATTCGAATACGAATACGCACTGTTGCGACACGGGAAAAGCGGCCCCAGGTCGCAGATCCCCTGCCAATGCGATGTCAAGCTGCCTGAATTATTCAAGATCTTACAAAGCGGGGACACCTGTCCGCCAGTCGTCCAAATACGACTATGGCAAGAGTAATTATAGCAAACCAATGTCCAATATACAATGTCCAATGTCCAATATCCATATGCATAAAGCCGACAATCCGAACCAAGTCAAGGCAATTTACTAAATCGTTGTCAGCGAAATTTCGTTGACATTCTAATGAGTCAAAGACCAAGACAAAACCGATTGGATTCGATTCGCTGATGGCTTCGCTGTGACAGTTTGTACCGCAATAATTTCAGCAATTTCATGGCTCGACTTTGGATGCGTATGCAAAAGTCAGCCATGAAATGATTGCGCCAAATCGACACAAACCAGAAACCTGAACACCGTAAACACCGCGATCTTCAAGATCAGCCACCACAGCCCACAGCCCACTTTGTGGGGTAAAAAGCTAAAAAAAAAAGAAACTAAAGAAAAAACAAAAGAAAACCCGGCCAGAATCCCAATCACATTGGCCACTCCACTTAAGTGTAATCAGAGTCCCAAGTTCCCAGTTTCGAGTTTCCCAGTTGCAAGTTGCAAGTTGCAAGAAGGAGCTGCGGGGTCGTGTGGCACACTCCAAAGCGCAACAATTGCAGCTCATTACGATCGTCATCGTCGTCAGAGCATTATCATTATATCTTATTCGATCTTAAGAGGTTTTTTTTTTAGGAGGAGGAGGCGGAGAAGGAGAAGGAGCTGCAACTGGACGCACGACAGGAACGAGTCCTCAATTGCGGGCTCAGCCGAGCCCAAAACGAACCGAAAATTTGTAACACCAATAGACCGTGGCAGCGAAAGGGGAAAGACATTCAAATTGCTCTTGAACTGGTCGGCCGACCACCTCAATTGCCACTTGGCGCCAAATTTGAGTCGGATTTCACTTTCCTTCCAATTGCCATCAATTTTCGTACACCCGGAAAAAAGATTTTTTAAAGATTTTAGAAACTTGCGTTACCAAAGTTAAAACTATAACAAATATTTCAAATTTGGGCAAATTTCATTTTAGCTTAAACATTACCTTTTGAAATGCCTTTAGTACCTTTTGAAATCTTCAAAAAGCCATATTTTAAGGATATATATGTTTACAAATCTGATGCCTATAAAAAACTTCATTTTAGTTTATGAATTACATTAGGAAATGCCTTTTTCTTTTTTTTAAGACATTGTTGCCTTAACTTTAAATCACAGGTTGCCTTATTTATTATTTATTTTTACTTTTTATGCCATTATGCCAACTTAAAGGTGTTTTCTAATACTTTATTACCAAAAACTAATTCCCCAAACTCCTTAAGCCTCTTTATAGCAATGTTTAGGCTTTTTAGGCAAATGTTTTTTCTGGGTGTAGGCTCATTTTGGAGGGGAAATATCTGATGGGTGAATCAGAAAAGAGAGAGAGTGATTGATCTTTTTTTGGCTTTTTAGCTTTGCGTGGGCTTTCGATACTGTTGTTTTCGATCGGAACCAATTGAGCCATTAGCCAGCGATGACCTCTTGGCATTCCATTGGCTACACCCACGCCGGTTCCATTTACTCCCAATCCCCAATACACAATTCCCAATTCCCAATTCCCACCTGCATATTCGCAAATCAACACCTCATGAAAATGGAGATGAAAATGGAGATTGAGATGGAGATGGAGATCAGGCGAAGGCGCAACAAAATGATTCCGCACATCAATTTCTCACGCACTAAGTGAGCCACTTAGCGCACATCAAAAATCAATAATCGATTAAATAATTAGAAAATTGTGAAAATTACTGTAATTTTGAAATCAATTCGTTGCATGCGACCACAGCGATCGTCATCGTTGGGGTGTCAAACATCAGTCTCGGCCGAAGCATAAATAATCACATTATAATAAAATAATGCAATGCCCTCAAACGAAGGCGGACCGCTCCAGATTCCAGTATCCACAATCCAGTATCCAGTATCCAGTATGCAGTATGCAGAATCCAGAACCCAGATTCAATTTAAATGGAAAACACTTTCCTACGGACACATCCAGCCAGCCAGTCAGCCAGCTCCAATTAATATTCGCAGCGTGCCGCGATCACCGCGAGCTGATAAAGTGCGGCTCATATATTTTGTCATAAATTTCAAACGCGCTCGACAGCTGCTCGACTCATCAATCAGCCCCAGTCCAGTCCAGTTCAGAATTCACTCTGAATCGAGGGAGCGTGCGGACTTTGGCAAACACTCGATTAAAATCAACTTCAATTTGTAATAAATCAAAAGTCCTATCAAAAACGAGGCGTTCAAGGCACCCAAAAGGGTTGGGTTTGCTTCGGCTAGCGACCAATGAAGAAATTTGCAGCGTTCTGCATCCCGATCATGTGGATCCCCATCCCCATCCCCATCCCCACCCCGATCCAGATCCACAGATCCGTGTCCCATGGCCATCCCAATGATGAATGGTTATTGATTCGAGGGAATCGCCGCGTACTGCCCTCCACTCGGTCCGTGCGCCAATAAAACTCCCAGTCAAATAAGTAGATCGACAATTTGCAAGCCCAAACCGGCGATTGTAGGTGGGCCCCGTCCAAAAGTTGTTTAACAAGACAAGCTGCAGTTTTCGTTATTTACATGATGTATAATTATTGTGATAGTAATAAATGCGCTTTCCCAGTTTTATTTATGAGGTAAAACCAATCCAATCTTATCGATTTGCATGTATTTTGTAACCTTATGCTTAGTGCCATTTTGATTAAACAAAGTAAACACAAATTCTGGGTAACTTAATAAGAAATAAATCATTATATTTGTGTACTGCAACAGAAAAAACATCATTAAAATGTTGTACCATAAGGATAGCCCAATTTGCATGTATTCTGTAATTTGTTTATTAAAACGAAAATGTATATATAACACAAAATAAACTTTATTACAAACTAAGTATTATATTTTACTTGCAGTATACAAAGAAAACAGATAATGAAGTATTATATTTATCGTGTCTTTATAAGAGACCAATGAAAACAACTGCCAGTTTATGATTAAAAAAAAAAACATAAAATGCATAAAAGTAGTTTAGTAACTTGTCAATATCCCTAATTATGACTTGTGTAATGAACGGAAGATAAATATTTAGTTAAGTGTTTTGTATTTTTTTTACTAGTCACATAGGCTAGTATTTTTAAAACAATGTAACAACTGACCAATTTGCCAATACCCCTGATTGTGACATTTGTAGTGAACAGAAGATATACAATTGGTTCAGTAAGAATAATTTAGTAGGTGATAAGAGCACAATGAATAATTCTATGAAATAAAACACATTAAAATTATTGCAACGCAGTTCTTAGGCTAGTATTTTTAAAACAATATGACAATTGACCAGTTTGTCAATACCCCTGATTATGACATATGTAGTGAACAGAAGACGCCTCGGGATCTGTCATGCCATGCATATCGTACTAGCTGGCTTATGATTATATCAACACGCTCTGACCATCTCGGTCGTTTGCAGCTGGGGGCTCTAGGAATTAAGTCTAGAATCGAAGCTGAAACCGAAACTGAAACCGAAACCTGTCGTGGCGAACAACTCATCAAACAGACACTCAATAAAAATGTCAGAAGCGGTTATTGTTATTGTTATTGTTATTGCTATTGTTATTATTTGTTGCCTTTGGAGTGGCATATAGTAGTGCCATATCTATAGCTCTATACTCATGCATATATATCCAGATAGTTGTAGTGTTGGCGTTGATTTGCGGACTGACTTGGTCGTGTTTCGTGGCGGGACTTTGCATGACTCATGAGCTGCGGCTTGTCGAGATGTCGTGAGTTATTTTTTATTTTTCTGTTTTTATTTTTCAGTTTTTATTTTTCATTTGCCACATTTGCCAAAGGAGCTCCCTGTGCGGTGAGCTATGTGGTAGTTGGTTATCTTGGCACGAAACGTGGCTGCGACTCTCGGGCTGTCGAATGCCAATTGCAATGTGAAATGTTGCCTTACAAAATGCCGCGCGTCAATATGCAAAATACATGCCACGAGAATTCAACGGCAAACGGCAAATGGCGATGGCGACGGCAACTGCCACAAAGGCAAATTGAATTGCAACCTCAGGCAGTGGCTGTACATTGTGGATGTGGATGTGGCTGTGGATGTGGATGTATAGATAGATGTGGCCAGTACGTTGGATAGAAGAAAACAAGTCCCGCCAAGCGACCAACCAAAGAATTCTGGCCTTAGTTAGCTAACCGAAAGTGAAAAATAAAGTAGGGGGAGTTGCTCGGAAAAGCGGGTGTTTTTTTGAGGGGGCACCGCGGAAAACCTGGCACGATTCCGTGTGATTTCTTTCCTTGAGCGTTTGTGGCAATCGAAGCCGCCAACGTCATCTGTGCAGCGCTTAACCCTCTAAAACAGACAGCCATTAAAAGTTGGATAAAGTTTTTAAAAGAAACTTAAGTCTTCTTCCTCTCACGTGGAATAAGAACCCATTATAAATTATTCTTGGGGAAACAAATTATATTTCTTACTTAAAGGTTAAAAAAACTAAACAAAGTTGGTAAAGAATTTATACATAACCCAAGGATTGTTTGCTTGCTGAACCTAATTTGTAGTTATATAGTTATATAACAGATCGATCAATAGCTAATGAATAAGCATAATGAACATATAAATATGTGTTCCTGGCAAACAAAATAAAGCAACAAAATTTTGTTGGATATTATAACTTATGAGTAAATCTTGAAAAATTTACAATGCAGCGTGTTAAAGCTTCTTTTTTGGCGATTTTCCCTGAATTTTCCAACTGAAACATTGATGTAAAGCTGTCAGTAAACAAAAAGAAAATATTCCTTATAAATAAAAAAAAGTGAAACTATTTTCTGTGATATTATAAGTATCTAAAAACTTAAAAATGTTTTATGAGTATATCTTAAAAGTGTACAATGTAGCGTAAAAAAGCTGTCAGTAAACATAGCGGGTTAAATTTTCTCTCTGGCGATTTTTCTTGATATTTCCAACACGCCGTCGATCATGATTTGCCGCTTAACGCCAAATCGCCGAAAATATCGGCAACACAAATCGAGCTACGTAATTAGCCCATGCAAAGCGGCTTCGATGGAAATGGAACTGGAAATGGAAATGGAACTGCTGCTGATCGTATTGTATTGGATCGGATTGGATCGCTGGTTGTTGCCTTGTCGTGATGTGATTTACTTCGTGCCCCGAACACACAGAACCCAAGCACAGAGCCTAAAACCCAAAACCAATGAGAGACCCAGCCCGAAACCCTAGGACTGTGCACGCAGGATGGCCGATTGGCCTGGGCCATGCCCAAATTAAAGTGTCTGCAGACCGCAAAACGTCCATCAAAGCTGCAGGAAGGGTGAAGCCGAAGCGGAAAAAGTAAGCCAATAAAATTGTCATGCATTGACAAATAACATGGCCAGCACAGTCAGACTTAGAAAACTAGAGTCTGAGGCTCGTTCGCTGGCCAAGAGCAAACGAAGTCAAGGGGAAAAATGGCGTTTGCCGCAGACAAAAGGCAGAAACGTTGAAAACGTTTTCCCCCATCTTCTGCCCTCTCCATCGCTTTTGGCCAGAGTCTGGGTCTCTTGGCCTGAGCCTCGGCTGCATTGCGGCTCCCACGCCTTCAAAATACTATATGTTAACAAACACGCTGCCAAGTGGCTGACAGCTTGCCGTTGGTTGGGGGTACACCAGTACGACTCTACAAGATTTCTTGTGAAGCACACCAAACTGCAGCCAAGATGGAGGAGCAGTCGTATCTTTTTCGGTCTTCAAGGGCTGCCCCCCGCCAAAGAAAAAAGGCAAAACCAAGTCAAGCCAAGCCAAGGCAGGCAAAGCCAAACGAAGTCGAGCCAACCAAGGCGCGCATAATAACCTGGCCAAAACGTGCGCAGATTTCCAGCAGACGATAAAGCACAACGAGAGGCAGGCGGCTGGGCATCGCACAGCCTGAAAATAAGAAAATAAGATGAAAAATAAGCAGGACAGGACCAGATCGCATCCATGGCTGCCTCGATTTGAGTTTGGGTCCATGGCTTTGGCAGCCATTTTTTCATTTTTTCATTTTTTTCCCCCTGAGTCTCGCAGCTGCAGCGACTTTAAGGCCACTCGCATGCAAAGCTGAAAAAGCAACAGCAGCCCCGGCCAATTTGAAGTTTTTTTTTCAAGAACACACAGACAGATAGATAGACAGACGGACCAGACAGACAGACCAGACAGACAGACAGACAGATACATCGCTGTGCTGCACAGCACAGTTCGGAGTGGTAGTATCTGTAGTATCTGTCAGATGGATGTGCCGCATCTGCATTCTCCATTCCGCATTCTGCACTCCGACATCTTGGCTCGCATCGATCAATGTTTGTCTTGAAGTCGCTTTGGCCTTTGTCTCTAGATTCCAACTCCTCCAACTCCGCATCCAACTCATCCTCATCCAACTCCTCCTCCTCGTTTGACATTGAGAGACACCGACACCTTTCGACTTTTCTGCTTGAACTTTGACTGCCGAATGGCAGTTGCGGGAAGGGGCTTTCCGGATGGGCATTCCACATTAAGGTCTTCACAATAGTAGGTTCTTACAAAGGTAAACAGGCAAAGCTTTTACATTTAAAATCTTTCAATTTATTAAAAAAATAAATAAATATAATAAATATAATTTTAAAATTATACAATTTATTAAACTAATTTTGATTAATAAGGTTATATCTATCCTAACTAATGTTTATGTCACCAAAAGTTGACCGTGTGCGAAAAATTCATATAATTATAACCAAGTATAGTTGCTTATTCAAGTTGTTCCAATTCATTGAAATAATTTCTTTGAATATTGATATAATTCCATCCATATCTTATGTAAAGGTCACAAAAAAAAATTAGTAGATGTTAAAAAAACAATAAATTTAAATTTTTACAATTTGTTTTTTAAATTTTTAGAATATTGATAACAAATACCTTAGCCTATTTTAAGGTCATTAAAGGCTAACAGTGTGTACATTAAAAACGCGGAATTTTATACAACTCTAAATTAGATAATAGTATGCCAACGATGAATCTGAAAAGAAAAAAGGAAGTCAATAGCTTTAAAATGTAAGTCTGAAAGAATGTCCATATCCTCATATAAAGTTTAGCTTGAAACCTCATAATGTTTATTTTATTTTAACTTTATATGCTTTAAGGCTTTTCTTAAAGGTAAGGTACAACATTCAGATACATCTGATGAATTTTCAATGAAATGAGGAATCTAAGAACTTGGAACTGTAAGTCTGGGTCAAGCCATTCTTTGAGGAGTAATTAGTCACATCAACTATTAATCTGGCACACGTGCTACAATTCAATCTGAGATTCTCAATCACTACGATCGTCAGCACTGGCTATTAGCGGAAGTATCTTGCAGATGTGAATGGTGAGCTGGCAAATAGCTAACCCTGCTCCTAGTGCCACTGTCATCCGAGCAGTTTACAGTTTGCCTTTGATGTTTGAGCCACCTTGGGGCACTGGCACTTCGACTCCAACTGCAACTGGAAGTGCAACTGCAACTGTAACTTTAGCCCATATCTATTAGCAGGAGTCCGCAACTATTACCTAATGGGCGAGAAGCACGTACTATACAAGTATCCTGGGCCTTGGCATGGGCTTTGGACCGAGGACTGAGGACTGATGACTGTGGGCCGCTCCTTTTGACCACATGCGAAATGCGTGTAATTAGCCGAAGCATTTCAAATTGCAAACTGCAGCGCGGCGGCGGCAACCAGATTGCATTCGCTCGTATAATTTCCGCTGTGCGGTGCACTTTAGCTTAAGTTTCAGCTTTTTGCATCTAATGATCGGTCTCTCGGTATCTCGGTGTCTCTAATGCACACACAGCAGTCTGGCAAACTAGTTGGCCGATACATCAATTAAATTTGCATTTTAATTTGACGTTTCGTTTTGTTTCTCTATGATTTATATGGGAGCGGGTCTAGGACTAGAGCAAAAAAGCGGTTGATCTTGTCGCGGGGTTACGATCGTCGATCGTCGATCGGTCGATATCTGTATCTAGCCAGCCCGTCTAACGAGAAAATCGGTTTTATTTTGATTCAATGGGGCAGCTGCAATGCCATGAGCTGTCAGCATTTCCGCTCGCCGTTCGAGTGCGAAATTCGGGGCGGAATGGCGCCCGTCGTCTTACATTTTTTTTTTTCTGGGTTGGGGATATACATACGTAGTTTGGGGTCACAGACGCATGCAATTTGAGCCACGGCGGTATAAATTGTTGCATGTTAAAAGGAAGTTAGCCCACAGCCCATAAACATTTGCTTGGGCAAAACAAAAACAAAAACGAAAATAAAAAAAAAAACAACTCCAGTAGCTGAAACCACAAAATGAAGGCGCGCAAAGACGTTTACATATTGGGTTAGCTGGGCACCCCACAGCAAAAGCACCAAAAGCACCAAAAGCCAGCAACCCCCCATAAAACCCCCTTCGAAATGGCAGTGGCGCAGCCAACCAACGGAGCATACAGTCAGTCAACCGCAGACAGGTCCCGAAAACACCAAAAACACCGCCTACAACCCACCAGAGATGAGCCACAGGGGCTTTACAAAATTTGGAAAATACATTACAATTAAACACTTTAAGCCCAAGTAGGAAGTATTTTTATTTGCAGGTTCTTTTTAAACTAAGAAAAATCATAGATTTTGAAGTATCCATTGATAAATTTCGGTTCGGAGTATAGATGTATAGGTGTTCATCTTACAAAACTGGGGAAAAAGGTTTTACATTAAACAAAAATAGGAAGTATTCAATTTGCAGGTTGTTATTGAAAAAAATAACTATGAAAAACTAAACAAATTTTTTTATAAAATAAATTCAATTTTATTGACCAAAGTTGGTTTTGAAAAGTAAATAAAATTGTATTTGTAATTGTATTGTAATTTAAGCTTATTAAACCCAAATTTGTATTATTTATTATGACAATTATTTATTTCTGACAAATCAGTGCTGAAAACGTGTTCTTGTAAAGAGCTTAGAAAAATCATGTCATGTTTGATGTTATTGCAGTTATCTCTTAGAATTAATGCAGTTCTAAAAAGCCAAAGTTTGTTTTGAAGGGCAGTTAAACATTTTGTTTAAAATTTAATCGTTAGTCAAGAAAGGTATAGGGGTTTTAATTAAAACCAAATAGGGAGTGTTTTTATTGGATCCATTTCCAGGTTCTAAGTGAGAAAACTATCCATTGATATTACGGCTTGTAGTTTGTGTTAATGTTCATAATGTTCACAACT